TTATGTGTCCTTTGTTGCAGTTGTGTCCTGCAGGCCCACAGTGAGGGTGCTGTCTCCTGACGATGGGAAGCAGAGCATTGTCCATGTAGCACAGCAGCTCTGCCGCTCTGTGGAAAACAAGGAAAGGAGCTTCAAAGACATTAATGTTTCCATGCTAGACCTGCTTCTCAGAGGTAACACTTTATGCCTGTGTGCATGTGTAAACATACTTTGATGTTTTTCAGAACACACTAAAGAGATTGTTGCTCACCAACCTGGGAACACCTTGGTAGCCCTTAATAAAGCTAGAGGGGGTTACTGAAGCTGTGTGTGCTTATTAAGAAAGAGTCTTAGAAAGCTTCTTTTCCCTAATCATTAGAAGTGTGTCATGGAGTTCATTAACTCATTACTGTTGAAAGCAAAAGAATTTCAAGATCCAGTGGATGTGTGCACTGTGTGTTTTAAAAGTAATTAAGACGTGTCTTGATTGTTGGCGTTTTTGGTTTTCTTTATCTTTATTTATTATTGCATTGCATTATTGCATAATTGTAGGGTCACCTTACAATATAAGTGCCATGAGGCAACTGTTGTTGGTGCTGTATAAATAAAACTGAATAGAATTTAATCATTATTGGACAGCTTAAAGAGGGAGCGTAACCTGTAGAGGATCCAGGTTAGCTGGGCCATGTCATGGGATTGTACTTTTACATGCAAGAGATGGACATGACATTGAAGTGCTGTAAAATGTTTCTCCTGGGCATTTTTCCCCACTGTTGAACCTCTTGGGTAAAGAGGCCTAGGAAAAGTGTCGTATGAATATGTCCAACAAAATACTAAGAGGAGAAAAGTGAATGTGTGCCATGTAATATATGAGTGTTGGAAAGGACAAAGAAGCACAGATGTAGCAGTCAAAATGTCTTTTTGTTATTTGACACAAAATAATATCCAAAAAACAATAAGCTATTTTAAGAAATAAATCATCTTGTAACAGAGGTATTACACAACATATTGCCACAGTAGAATCCCAGTCCACTGGTTAGGCTTCTGTATTTAATTAGACTATCCAATGCCACAGTTCAGCCAATTGGAGACAAATAAATGCAAAACAAACAACCTCTAGAAAATCAATTTAACTTAAATAATGACTCAAGTTTTCTAAAATTCCAGGGATTGGACACATTTATGGCACCAAAAATGACCATAACTGTGGAGAAGTTTATTATCCAGTGAGAGTGGATGTATATTACCTAAATTTTCTTTAACCTGTGTGGCTGTGGATCTTGAGTGACAGCTACATGAGTACTGCTGAATGGGAGCCACTCTCAGATTTGAGTTCATTCTATAGTCAGAACTTGCAGATTCTCAGTAAATAGGAGACAAAAGATTGTCTTGATAACATGTTCGCTTTCTTTGTGCTTGTTTCAGAATCAAAAAATATTCCAGACCCTGAGTTGGTGGTGAAGTTTGGTCCTGTAAACAGCACACTGGGCTTCCTTCCCTGGCACATCAGGCTCACAGAGTTCATGTAAGCTTCTTTACGTCTCAGAATTTGCATGTTTAGATGGACCACTTTTAATAATGACGATGAAGTATGAAAGTTTGTTTGAATTTTGAAATTGATGTCATTAACTGAATTCACTTTGAAGCGCACTATGTTCAATGTGTAACCTACTCTGTGCCCTCAGCTCCCTGCCATCCCACAGAAATGTCTCGTATGAGGACTTGTTGGGTGCCCTGCAGCGGTACGGGGCTTGTCAGCAGCGGCTCGGACAGTGAGGCAGCAAAGAGATTATTAAATAAACAAGTGTGGGCTTTACACAGCCAGGACATCCCGGACAGGTAATGACTACCGTCCCTCATTACTCGTCGGCTCAGCTATGCCCATCTGCTGGACCTCTAATACAACAAGACATTTCAAATATATGGAAACCAGGAAACATAGCCAGCCAATCTTTACCACCAGCTTGTCTTCTAATGAATTCACATTCCAGGACTCATGGAACATGCTCGGTAAAACAAGAAAAAATGGCACTGACGTAAGACTGTCTCCACAGACTCAGTGGTCCTAACACCCTTGTTTGTTTCATTCTTTCTCCAGCTGTCATTTACTGCTGATGGAAAAATTGCCTTCACATAGACTATAAAGAAAAAACAAATCTTTGTGTGCAAACTGCATCACAAGGAAATATAGCAGCAGTTTAAGATCATGCAGCACAGGAGCTGAACAGCAGAGTGGCTAATGTGTAAATATGAGAAATTCCTGTAGCTCTGTTTGTCTCTGTGGCCTCCAGCTTGCAGTCACGTTCATGTGTAGTGTTGTTTCATGCACATACAGACGGTTGTTCAACATTGTTTTTGGTCTGAAATAAAGAAATGCACTGTGTGTATTTGAATGTGTTTTTGTGTCTGTTAACACTCTTAGAGGAAAAGAAAGCTCCTTTTATGACAGAATGAACTCTTTCTATTATGATTTAACCTCGACTCACTGTGTGCTTGGACACGACTCAGTTCTTTATATTTTGCTTCAGTGCAGCGAGACTTGTTTGTCATTTTTAAGGTGGTCTTGAGTAATAGTTTGTCTGAAGTTTTTCTTTGGACATTAGTCTGAAAATGGTTAGGTACAAAGTCACTTAGCATAGATCGTTGAATCAAGCATAAATCCAGCTATGAAAAATGCCAAAGGTGACATTCTGATGGGCATCAAATAGTATTTTTGCATCAAAAAAGCTTTTAACTGAAAACTTGGCATATTAGCATTCTTTGCATTTTAGTTTTATTATTTCACCAAATCACAACAGTCATCTCAAGGTGCTTACTGCCATGTCCTTGAGATATACATATAGAAACAGAAAAAATCCTGCAAGGAATTGGCACAAGACCTGCGAGATGGATCTGACCCTTCAGGTGATCCATATGTTTTCGAAGCCTCATATTAAATGGTTGCTGCCAAGAAGCCATTCTTAAGGAAGC